CTTATTTCAGCATTTAATAGATGTGACTGAACTCAGAGATCAGGACCTTGAACTAAATGTCAGCTGCCCACATTGACAGCTTCTTCTTCGGTTCGGGGGAGAAGGGCTTGAATATGCTCTGGTGAGTTTCTTAACTCTAAAATAATAGATTACTCAGAAAAATGCAAAGCCCACAAAATACTGCCTTTTTGAGTGGGTGAGAGATGAAACTCTTGTATTGAAATTGTAAAAGACGATGTACTACGTGTGATCTATGATTATTTACATGGAAATAGAGAGGACACTGGAAGAGGACACTGTAGACTCCTTCCTTCACAGAAACACTTTGTGGATGCAGTTGCCACATCCTTAGCTATGCCTTTCTTTATGTTTCATTATGTAACCATCTTAGAAATAAAATGGTGTGACCGTGTGAAGGGATGACACCCCGTTATTCCTTGTCTTCATAATAGTCAACCTTTATTTTTGCCACTTATATGTGGTAAGAGAGGTTTCCATATCAGAAATCACAGGTAAATTGTTCAAGTATGGTATAAAAATTTTAGAAAATGGGATTGATTTAAACATATTCCTAAAAATAAAATGACTATATATTCCATTTTCACAATGTTAGGGTCAAAAAGTAAAAAAATATGGACTGAAAGATTATGGTAAGTGACCAAAATTACTTATAGTATTATTTTAGCTTTCTGGTTTCTACTAATCCTCTGTGAAAGTTGTGAGGCAGAGAAAATTCAGAAGTATTCTGGAAAGGACTTGTTAATGGCCAGATTTTTAGAAATATTGGAGAAAATGACTTTCAGGGAAAATGCCTGGTAAAAATCATTAGAAATATCACACTCAACACATTGGAAACAACTGTTGTTATTCTTGGAAAAAATATCTACCTAAAATTCAAACATTAATGCTTAAAAACAGTAATATTCACTGAACATTGTTATAAAAAAGTTAGATTTTTGAACGCTACTTTAGAAATAAGACAGTGAGTAACTGGAAAGAACGAAGTAGTTGAATGAAAGTAGTAAAATTCTGGACTTGCAATGAACAGAAGACTTTCACAGAAGAAAAAAGTGTCAATCTTCATCTTCTTCATAAGGTAACAACTCATAGAGAAAGTCAAAATTATCCTGAAATAATACCTAAAAACCAACAAAAGAAATACTTCAAGTCTTTCTTTAACCACTGTATCTTTTCTTGGGATGACACAGCACATTAGCTGCTGGTTAGATATTTATAACCCATAATTGGACAAATACCTTTTAACCACACCCACAGACAATTGGATTAACAAGGAAAATACTCAGGAACATATATTTATATATATTTAATATTGAAGATAATTATGTAGCTTTTTTCAAGAGGAAGAAAAGATAAGCAAAGTTTTAAAGATGAAAACCAAAATTGCATTTAACTCCACTATATAGCCACTGTATAAATTATTAGCAATAGTTGACTTAAATTAATGGGAAGAGCAAACAAAATACTTCTAGGTAAATCAAGTAATATTTTCATTCACAAGGAATATATCATTTTTTTGGGGTTCCATATGTAAAATAATCTACCTCCTGTAGATACATTGAAATAGAGGTTCTTGGAGCCTCCAGAAACCTCACCTCCTCAGTTCCAGTCACCAGAGGTGATGTCTGGATGAGCAAATGTGTCATTATAATGTCTAGAGTTGCCAGGTATCATCTTTTTTTCTTTTTTTTTTTTTGGCCAGGTATCATCTTTAAAGTCTCTCTTCAATATTTCAAAATAACATCACCTGGTTTAATTTAACAGTATTATAATATTCCTTTGTCATACAAAGACACATATGTATAAAATCCCACACACATCATCTTCCCACATAACACACATATACACAGAACCAAGTTTTAAATAAGTTTTAGTTGATGTGTGCAAGGGATTTGCTTATCAGTTTCAAATCTTTTTTATCAAATGTTATTTTGAAATAATGATTCAGTTATAAATTTAAGATTTATCTTTTTTTTCTCTGCAGCACGAATTTTAAATGAACATAGTTTTTAAAATACCAATTATTCAGGTGACTACTTAAAGTGTCAACTAAATAGTGGTTTAAAATATAGACTGTTTCAAAGTTTTGGTAAATAATTTATTCTTTTCCACAGAGAATACCTAAATTTCATCATAATGCTTGACTATTGTAAGTTATTTCAGTATTTATAGTAAATAAACATCATTTCTGATATTTTTAGTAGCATTTACTTTATTGATATAGTATTGATTTACAATACAGTATCTGACTTTGGAACTTCATTTGCATCTTCAGCTCTATACCATTAGTTGTCTTTATTTATAATTAATAATACTGAGCAGTTTTCTTACCTCAACTGAAATTCTGGTTACAAAAATACAATCCATAGCTATTCAATAAATTATTTAACTAACATTCAAGTAAATGATTTTTCATGGGTATATTAATGATGTTATTTTCTCATAAAAATATACTCAGAAATGTCTGTTCTTTCTATATCCTTTGGGAAATTAACATTTTTCAAATCAATGCTTATAATCTTTTGTGTTATTGATACTGGTCTCAAATGTAATAAATGTCATAATTATTGTATAAGTTCTACAAATTTTGAGTTTTGTAATTTCAATTAGGAGAAAATGTATGAATAAAATACATTTAAAATAAAAAAATTAAATTGCAATTATAAATCCATTGTAGCTAGATGGGATATAATTATGTAGCATGATCATGAGAAAGAATTGATAGATAAGAACATTTATTAATATGAGTCCATGGGACTGAAAAGAAGTTTAATATAAATGACTTTGAATATTACATATCCCTATTCATATAACAATATATTTTAAAGATCTTATTAATTTTATTATGCACATTTACTTTTCCTTATTATTGGTTGAAATGGGAGATTAAAATTTAGAATCTTGCGTACTCATGCTTCCATAAACTGAATTAAAGTATATTTAATGTAATGACATGATTTCAGTATACAGAACTATCTGACATATGTGATGAGTGATTTGTACAATTGGCTTCTTAATCAACTTGATTGAGTCCAAGATTGGTTAAAGGTTAAGCAAGATTCAATTTTCTTTCATTGATCACAATTTGTCTTGCAGCCAACTCTACTGGAAAATTAAGGACTATGGCTAATTTCACCATGAGTGGGTTTCTTCTGATGGGATTTTCTGCCAAGCCTGAGCTAGAACTCGTCCATGCTTCTCTGTTCTTAGTCTTATACCTGGTGGCTTTAACTGGCAACATCCTCATTATCACTGCGACTTCCATTGATAATAGCCTCCACTCAGCCATGTATTTCTTCCTGAAACATCTCTCCTTCCTGGACCTGTGCTACATTTCCGTGACTGTGCCAAGGGCCATTTACACCTCTTTCATGCGTAGCGGTTACATTTCCCTCGGGGAGTGCATGGTGCAGTGTTTTGCTTTTACTCTCTGTGCTGAGGCTGAGCTGTCCATGCTCACAGTGATGTCGTATGACCGCTACGTGGCCATCTGCCTTCCACTGCACTATGAAATCATCATGGATGTCCACAAGTGTGCTCTCGGGGTCCTAGGTGTCTGGGTCAGCGGGGTCATTTCTGGAACTATGCACACAGCGGCCATTTTCTCCATGCACTTCTGTGGCTCCCATGTCATTCACCAGTTCTTCTGTGACATCCCCCAGCTCCTGAAACTCTCTTGTTCGAATGAGTATATCAGAGATATTGGAGTCAGTTCCTTCCTATCTTTTATGGCCTTTCTTTGTGTCGTCTTTATTGGACACTCCTATATCCAGATCTTCTCTACTGTGCTGAGGATGCCGTCTGCTGAGGGCAGAGCTAAGGCCTTTTCCACTTGCCTTCCCCACCTCGCTGTGGTAATTTTATTCATTTCAACCAGCATCTTTGAGTTTCTCAAGCCACCTTCTGACTCTCCCAGTGCACTGGACATTTTGCTGACTATTATGTACACAGTTGTGCCCCCAACACTCAACCCAATGATCTACAGCCTGAGAAATCAAGCTATGAAGACAGCTTTAAGGAAGTTTTTCCAAAGAAGATAAGCCTGAGGCCCATCTGTAAAGTGTAACTTAGACACAAGTTAAATAAGTCCAGAGAAGTGAAAATTAGTTGAGTTTATGACAGAATCAGGACTGAGGTCTCAAGTGTGAGAACAAGCTCCAAGTAATTCTGGAAAATCTGCCTGAACTCTGAATCCTCAAGAAGATTTTATATAATTTATATAATGAAACATTTCAAGATATGGACTGGGAACCATCTGGTGCATTTATGTAATTTCTTTTATGCATTGAAGAAAACAGGAAAATTCATTAGGGTTTTCCCTGTTTAATGTGTCATTTTTTTCTGGCAAGTAGGAGGTTTAGTCCTGCCATCACATAGAGGCTGTTTTTTGTTTCCTTGTTTTTTAAGATGTATTTATTTATACATACAAAACTGGGGTACAGGCCAGAATTGCAGGGGAGGCAAGAGGCAGATGGATGATGTACACTGCTGGGGGAGCAGCGGGTGGGTCAGGAGAGGTCTCCCGCACCATGTGGATCACCTCAGGGGCCAGGGACAGAGCTCACACTGAAGTGCTTGTGGCCAGCCTGCAGTGCTGTGTCCTAATGTGGTGTGCCACCAGGGAGGGCCCAGGGTGTTTTTTTTTTTTTAAGTTATATTTTTTTCAGAGGTAACAGTACCTGAAGTGCTTTTTCACAAGAAAACAGGAGACACTTTTCATGGGCACAATTTCACTAGTCCAGCCCAGCTGCATTAATTCTTGACTTGTGCCCTTATGTGGGATAAAGGGGCATGGTACCCCTTAATGGAAGTTTGATTAACCAAACACAACAACGACAAGCAAAAATGAAGCTGACAGAAAATGAGCACAGAGAAATTTGTCACATATGAGTTTTGTCATGGCTTGTGCACTATTCACACAATAGCTCTGAAACAATTTCTCCTTTAATGGTTTCATGAAGTAGTGGTAAAAATTCATGAGAGTGGTTGAATCTAAATGATAGAAAAGGGAAGTCTAATATTGACTTATAAAACTTTCCAAACATCATTTGATGTTTTTCCATACTTGGAAAGTATGGACAGAGAAGATATTTTATAAAATAATTTTTCAGTTCTTTTGCCAAGTTTCTGCTGATATGATATAAATCTTTAGTTTTGAGGAATAAATTTTGGCTAATATATGTAAATAAATATGCCAGTAAAATAATGATTGAAACTCTAAAATGATAAAAACATATTAATAATTAATAATTTGCCCCCACGAAAAGGGAACAGACTTCTGGTGAGAGGTGACAAGGTTGGGGAATCCAATGGACATGGTGATTATGGTTAATAACACCTAACTACATGGATGTAGTTGCTAAAAATAACAATAAATTTTCTCATGGCAAAACGGATAGAAATTTATATGACATGATCCATGTATTTCTAATAATACAGAGATTGTGATTTTTATAAATTATCTGTGGCAAATCAAAACATTGTTTAAGTGTGCACAAAGTTTTATGACAATTATATGTCAATAAATTTGGAATAAGCTCAGGCTCTTGATTTTCCTGTCTACCAGGGACACACTTCAGCTTTGTGGCTGGGATAGTGTGGAGTGAGAAGGATGGAAAGTGGTATTCTATGCAAATGGAAAACATAAGGTTTTATGGATGGTGACACTGGCATTAGATAAAGTGAAAAACTTTAAGAAGAGACAGCCTCCCTTTTATATAATGATAAAAATTATTTAAATAATGGTTATGTGAAAAGATAAGCAAAACTGAAAAACACTTATCTAGATTAACAAAAAGTGCTTCCTGAAGAAAAGCAGAAATAGTAGAGGAGACATTATAACTCATGCCAGCAAGAGAAAGGGTCATAACGGATGACTACAAACAGTGATTTGACAACACATTTAAGACCTTTTGGAAATGGACACTTTCAATAACCATACCTATACAAAGTTTAAATGATCAAGTAATAGAATCTGACAAACCAGTTTTGAGTAAGGAGTTTGAACAAACATCAAGAATGATAAAAATCATGGCCCTCTAGGTAGGCAAACAAAGCGTTTGGGAAAATTCAATATCCTTTCATCATGAAATCTCGACCAGTCAAGTGTAGTGGTATGCACTTCAACTTAATAAAGACCACATATGTAGCCATGCTTTATGCAGGGATGCCGCACTGATAGGTTAATTTCCCCTTGATGCATAGTGTCGACAATCATTTCCCAGCTGTGCACAAAGCACAGGTACCTTGAATTTTGTTATTCAGGTGTTTATCATTTTACTGTGGCTTTAGACTCAGAGAATTTTAGAGGTAGAAAAAAATTTAGAGATCATCATGGCCAACATCCTACCCAAATTAAAGATGTGTTTCCACATCAATGTAGACTGTTAAGCATTGTCAGCCAAATAGTTACAGGACCTCAGTGCATCTTCAGAACACTGTATGTACTAGTCAAATGTGAAAACATGCCAAATCTTTGCTACTTTATGTCTTTACTTTTTCTTTTCTTAATATGTGAAAAGACACTCTTATCCTGCTAATATTAACAATTATTCAGATATGTGTTTCCACTTGTATAATTTTCTGTAGCCATTTTTAAATGCTTTGTACAAATGAAGTTTGGAAATTCTAATATTTTTCCCTTTTCCTCAATTTTAATATATATGTTCTCCTTCATGAGCTCAAAACTTGCAAGTCTATGTATTTTTATGATGTATTTTTTCAGTGATATATTTTTTTGTTGTTTTATGTCATCAGAAATCATTAGATATTTCTCCCAGTCCTTCTAATAGAATATTTATTCACCAAATTAAACAGCACAGATACAAGTACTGAATGGTTGACTTAAGGTGAAGCTTTGCATACTATTCTTAGCTCATAAGTATGTGATGCATTGACGATTAGTTGAATTATTGTGCTAACATTATAGTTTATTTGTTATGAAAACCAGCTGAGATCTACTTTGTGGTATTAAAAAAAAAGCTGGAAATTCACATGTGTGAAAAGATAGCCAAGGCAAAGGCTTGTTTTTGATGACATGCATGCTTGTTTACTATTTAGTCTGAATTTAATGTTGACCCAATGGGTTTATTTTCACAGTAATTATTATGTCATGCTAGGTAAACCATAGACCATACAGCCAATTCTAAAAATGTGACTATTTCTTAGTTCTCCATTGAAAGGGAAATTACATTGCCATTTAGTGGTATAAGACTAGGGAGCACTTCATTGCTTCATTTGTATCATCCAATGGTATTTACCCCTTTTCAGAAAAGGGGGATGTTTACTAGGCATTATAATATTAAACTAATTTAGTTAATTTAATTTAATTTAATTTAATTTAAATTTAAACCTAAACTTAAACTAATAACTGCTTACATCAATTAATAGAACTGAACTAAGTTTGTTTGGGGGGGATTCATGAATCCAACATATGTTATAATATTTTTCAATAATTTTGTCAATAAACACAAACAACTTGAAATTCCAGGTTACTAGGTATGATAATTAAGTCAACTCAACAGAATGAAGAATCTCTATAGAACAATAAATATTACTATAAGTTTTGGCCCCAGGGTATTTACTAGGATCACCAAATACCCTCCGCATTTACAAATTCTTCCTGTGCCAGCAGACCTGGTAATCTAAACCCTAGAGACCAAAGAAGAATTGAAATGGACTTATGTTTTTTCAACTGTTCACATTTTTTTCTGAAATTTGAGTGAAGTGTCAGCTGCTCACACTGACAGTTTCTCCTTCTGTTGAGGGAAGATGTTCTTGAATATGTTCTGGTGAATTCCTTTAGGTTTTATGAAAATGTAGATTACAAAAATAATAAAAATCCAATAAACTACTTATTTAAAATGGGCATGACAACAAATTATTGCAATTTCACTTGTAAAACATGAGATACTATGCATAATTATTTTAATGGAAATTAGGTAGTTGGAAGAGGACATGGTAAACTCTTTCCATTACAAAATTATTTCATGGAGTGTAATTCCCCTCTTCTGGAAATATTTTCTTTAAATAACCATCATAATTCTAATTCAGCATTAATTTTCCTTGGATTCATATTATTTATCAATACTTATAGTAGTGAATTAAAAGATACTTGAAATGTTATCTACAGCACAAATCACAGCTAAGTTGTTGAGGTACAGTAAGAACATTTGTCAATTGAGAATGGATCAAATATTTTATTGAAAGCAATGTAATCCACATTTTCCAATTTTATAAAATAAGGATAAAAAATAGAAAAATACTGAAATAGTGACAGCTTCTTGTAATACCAAATATCTTATTCATTCTCTTTCATAGGAAGAGTTCTGAGGTAAAGAAAATTCTGCAGTGGACTTGTGAATGGTCAGTATTTTCAGAAATATAAAGAAAGGTCTTACAAAAATAACTGTTAAAAATAAATGTATCTCTAAATTTAGGAAAGACATTTGTTATTTTTTATAAACATATAACTGTGTTACCATAAACATTTTTTTAAAACATCGATAGTCATGAAAATTTGTCCTGAAAGTTTTGGATTTTGAATTCCCTCTTTGTTATAGCAAAGTGAATAACTTGCAGACAATAAAATAGTATCTTATAAACAAAAAAACCAACCTAGTGGTCTGGTCAAAATGAAAGAAGGAATTTCATTGAAAAAAAAACTGATCATCATTATGTTTATAAGTTGATACCCATAAAAAGGGGCAAAAGATACTGAGGTTGTTTCTGAAAGCTAACAAGAGACACTTCAGTGCTTTTATCATATCCTTTTATAGGGGGTATCACAGTCAATGCAAGCTCTTATTCAGTAACTTTAGAAAGTTATCTACAACCCAAATGTGATAAGATTGTTTTCAGACTTACATATGCACACACACAACTAGTAAATATGCATGGTTTTTATTTCTTCAAAGAGAAAAAAGATACATAAAGTGTTAAAGAGACACACAAAACTGCATTGAATTCTGCCTGCTATTTGGCTCCTGACTTAATGTTTCAATTACAGATTTAAGTCAATGGAAGACCAAGCAAACTAGTT